TTTTACCTCTTGCATGTGTGTGGGGGTGGTCAACTGAGAGTCAATGAATTCAGGTGAAGCTGGGTTTGGCTTCAGACTACCGAGCAGCTCTATGCAGTTACCCAGGGAATTTTCTTCTCATGGCAAAAGGAAGCAGCCTAAGAGGATATGTTCAACCAGAAGTTACATTTTCAAGCATTTGTTCAGGTTGTGGTTGTTAACATCTCACTGGAAAAAAGCAATTTTCACAGCCAAGCCCAAATGCAATGTCCTCCAACCTCCATGAGACCACGGGGAGCATGCAGACATACAATAATATTATGGAAGAGAAACAAACTGGGGCCAATAATCCAGTCTAAAATAAAAGCCCCACAGCCAGCCCTCACTTACTGCTCCACACTGTGAACAGCTTCTAAGCTTTTAAGATTTGCTGCTGCAGGCAAGAGGATTATGGCTTTCTTTTATCCCCAGTCTCCTACTTCTTCTGTTATTTCCACTAAACTCCAAATCCAAGACTTGTTGAGACTTGTAAAAAGGACAGCTGGGCCCCTTCTCAATACTCCCCACTCTGACACAGCTCTCTCATCTATGTCTAACTCTACGCAGGTGGGTAGACACAGTAAATAGTTAGGTTCTTGGCCTCTGGAGGAAACTGCTTATTCTGTTTTATTTTTATTGTTTTATTTCTAAATGATTTTCTAAAATGAATATGCTGCTTTCAAACTAAGGTAAAGAGAACCCAGTTGATCTACATTTTACAACGTGCTTAGTGCACGATATCTGAGTCAATCTGTCCATGTCATGAACAGGAGGTGGAGGAATGACTTATTTTATAAATAAGTCCCTAAAAGTGTGACGTTATACACTTAGGGAATCCCATAGACAGTCTAATATCACCTGGAAGAAGTCACTCTTTTATCTTTTTCCTTAACTGGTGAGGGTCGTGGTTCCCTCACAGCCCTTTGACCACCACCAACTCCAGCCAGATTCTCTGTGCCTCTGTCCTGATCATTATGACCTCACATCAGAGTCTGGGCAATCAGCCGGACACCAGTAAAACACTAGTGAAA